CCCGTTTCTTTTGTCCTCCGGCGCCGGCCTCCGGTGCCCGCTCACGGGTCCTGCTGCCCTGTTTTCCTAGTATCCAGGGCCCCGTGCATGCTCTGTGTGTGCGCTCTGGTCCGGATGGCTGGGGCTGGGTGATTAGCAGTCCTGGGCTCCCTCCCCCTCTCCGCTCTGACTTCTCTCCTCCCGCCCGGAGCCGGGGGGAGGGGCGCTCGGGTCCCACCGGGCCGGGGCTTGTATCTTAGCCCCTTCGTGAGGCGCTGGGTTCTTGCAGGTGTGGATGTGGTCTGGATGTTGTCCTGTGTCCTCTGGTCTCTATTTTAGGAAGAATTGTCTTTGTTATATTTTCATAGATATATGTGGTTTTGGGAGGAGATTTCTGCTGCTCTACTTACGCCGCCATCTTCTGTTCATGACCGAGTTCTAGTATATTTTATCCAAGGAAAAATAACATGTATCATGTAGACAGGAAGAGGAGACTGAAACTTTCTGGATAGTTGCTTAAAGGCAGCTGTTCTTTTTTTCCAGATTTGAGATAATTTGAGAAACCTAAGATCTTACATTTATAAAACAATAAACAAAGTAATAACTACAGCTGCCCCAAGAAAGCTCCTGTTACTTTAATTGTTAACTATAGGAATCTTTATACAATGTGGTTTAGCTCTCTAGAACTTATTTATCTTGCATAACTGAAATATTATGCCTGTTGAGAAACAACTTCCCACTTCCCCTCCCTACCATGTCTGACATAGAAAGAGCCTGACATATTTATTGTAAGAAATGCATTCTCACTTCACTCACCACACACACACAAGAAGTCACAATAACTGGGTCAACAGGGAAGTTTCTGGGAAGTCATAGTAAATCTCAAGGGCAGGGACACTATAAAATAAATGTAATTATGAAATTTCAAATGCAAGTCAGAATTAAAGCAATGAGATTTTGTGACAAAGAGCAGCCCTTTGTTCCTTGAAAGTACATAACTTAGACCTTCATCACACTTTCTATGATAGACAGGGGGGTGGGGGAGGGAAAATGTATTCAAATACAATGTTCCCGGTAAACACCTCTTTTTAATGACATTTAGTGCCTGAAAAAGAAGGGAAGGGAAAGAGATGGAGAAAGAAGGGAAGTGGGAGGGAGTAAAAAGCAAAGGAAGGGGAGAGAAAGCAAGAGGAAACCCTTTCTGAGGCTGTGCTGTGCTTTCCTCACTGTGGTAGGTGCTTTCAGATGTGTCTCCTGATCTAGTCTTTAAAATAATTTTCTAGGTAAGTTTTATTACCCCACTTACACAGATGAAGAAACTGAGACCCTTGAAAAATGAACTGAAGCCAAGATTCAAATTCATTTTGATTGTTGTGCTCATTCATTTAGCCTTTGGAAATCGTAAAGGTTAATCTTCTTGCATTTACATGACTAATTATTGCTGGTGAGGTGGATCTAAGACCTAGAGATGCTCATTTTCCACTTAAAGCTTGACCCTCCGAAGGGACCTTGGTGTTCTGGCTCCCCACCATGCAGAGGGTTTTCTAACTGTGGAATCCAGCGCATGGGGGGCCAAGCCAAGGAGCCGCCCGTGGCCACCAGACTGCTAGAATGTGCCACTGGAGAAGCCCTCCTGGGATGGCTGCTGTCTTCTGGGTCAGGAAGAGATGTGGACGAGGAGCTTCTGAGAGGGATGGATGACACTGGGGAGAAATCCACTCCCTTATGACAATCCTCTGGGTTCCTGGACCAGATATAAATGGATTTTTTGTGCACAGGATTTCAGTCCTCGCCTATGTGAGTCTCTGTGATGATGCTCCCTGTGCCCAGCCGTGCTCCCCCCCAAGCGCCCCTCGTCCTTACCACCCAGATTCCTTCCTGCCCCCCTGCTCTGTCTCATGCATCCTCCCACCATCCATTCCACCTTAGCTACTTATCTGCATTTGCCCCACTTTTACCTCGGGCCCTGTTGTGTTTTCTGCTCTGGGTCCTACTGTCCCTGCGTCAAAAAAAACACTGTGGAAGCAGGGCCCGGGATCTTACGTGATTTCCTTCTTTCTGCCTCCTTGGTAACTGTCCCCTGGTCACGTTCTAGCTGGGACAATGGGGACAGTGTGGCCTCATGACTGTGCTGGAACGTGTCCACAGAGCCATTCTGGGCACACTCTTGTCCCTTTTCCTTCCACTCTTCTGACCATCATTTTCAAATGGGGCCTCGATGTCACCCACATCTCTGCTATGTTTTCCTAGTATCTTCACTCTTCTCCATCACAGATGACAGTGTCCTACCTCCGCCGCTCTCCTCCGACCACCAGGACCTCCTTCTCTCTTCTCACCCTCAACTGTCGGCCTCTCTGAGAGGACCAGACAGGAGAAACCAGACGGGAGATTCCACATCCTCCCAACACACCATCACTACAAGCCTACCGGTGAATTTGCCTTCCCCTTATCACGACCGATGACACACACACCATCCTATCTGAAGTCAGTCCCCTCATTTGGACACTGGATCCCAACTTCTCATGCCGATTCAAATACATGAATTCAGCCGCTGTCTTCTCTCTGTGGCATCATCCATTTCCCCTTTTTACTGGATCTTTCCCAACATCATGCCAATATGCTACAATATTTCTAATCTATGCCTCCTTTGCTGCTATTCCATTTCCCAATCCCCTTTACAGTAAAACTTTTTGAAAATGTTTTCTTTGTTTGTTGTCTCTATTGCACTCCTGTAATCTTTTTCTGAAACTACGCCAGTCAGGCTTTTCATTCCCTGAAACAGCTCTTCAGGGTCTCCAGTGACCTGTTCATTGCCAAGTACGGTGGTCACTTCTCTGTTCTCATCTATTATTTAACAGAATCGAGCATTCCCTCGTTCTCACTTTCTTCACGTGGCTTCTGGAATCAGTCTCCCCTCCCTCTCTGTCCCCGTCCCTCCCCCTCCTCCTCTCCCAGGGCCCTTCCTCCTTACTAACTGCCCCCGCAGCGCCTCCTCTGCTGCTTCCACACTCTTCTCCTTAGTCCGCCTTGGAGGGCTCCGCAGCCCAGCGCTCACACGTCTTTCATCCCCCCCAACCCCAGGGAATCTCCACAGGCTCATGGCTCTCAACGCGCTGTCATCTCAAATTTATGTCTCTGATCCGGGTTCTCTGCTAAACTCCAGACTCATCTGCCGAACTGCCTACTTGACATTTCCGCTTGGAATGTCTCATCAGCGTCTCAAGCTTAACATGTCCAAACCAAATACTAATTGCCCATATCCTTGCCCTCACGCCACGCACAGCCCCCGCACCACTCCTGACCTCCCCACCTCCCCCTAATCCTGCAGGCTACCCCATCTCAGTAAATGGCAATTTCATGTTTCCACTGCTCAGGATGAAACATTACCATTCCCTTTCTCTTCCACCTTACTCAATATATTCATTAATCCTACTTGATCTAGGTTCAAAATATATCTAGAATCTCACTACTTCACATCAACTCTACCATGTCACCACCATCCAAGCTGTTGTCATTCTGCTTGCATTATAATCAGCAATCAGTTAACCTTTCTGCTTCCACACTTATTTCAGTATTCGGTCTATTCGCTACAAGAAACTATAATATACAATATACTATAACAGCAGCTAGAATGATGTTTTCAAAAATGTAAGGTCAGGTCCTATTACATCCCTGACCAATAGCATCCAATGATTTCCCAACTCACAGTAACAGCCCAAGAGCCTGCAGTGGCTACAAAGTCGCCCCCCTCTGCCAGCCTTTCTGCCCTGTCTCTGACCACTTCCCCTTCACTGTTTCTTCTGCTTCAGCCACAGCAGCTTGGTTGCTGTTTCAAGAAGGAGAAGCTTTAGGAGATTTGCATGTAGAATTTCTGCTAAATAGAATGTTCTTCTCCTGACAGTCTCATGGTCCCCACACTCACACAGCCTCCATCAGAAAAGCTGCCCTGGTTCAGTGTTAGGAGGCATCCACACCTACAAGTGTCCCCACCAATCCCTGCTCCATCATATCACTCTTTCTTTGTTTTGTTTATGGTTTGTTATTAGCTCTCTCCTCTCCTTAGTCTGTCAACTCCATGAAGGCAAGAGGCTCTCTCTGTTCAGGATATGTCACTCGCGCCAAGAAAAATATGTCTTAGAGTAAATTTCAAAGAATATTGTTGAATGAATAAATGGGCATCATACTAAGATCAACTAATCTGATTTGTTTGGTGAGGAGGTATTTTCTTAGAATGAACAATAAGCCATAAATATTCAAGGGCTTAGGCAAGAGAAAAAGAAAGTAACATCTAAGATGTCCTGGTAACTTGCTTAAGTCGTGGCAAAATAAAACCTTGTTTATCTATCTAAGAATCAACAGAAATTCAGTGATATTGGCCTTCGTTACTCTGTTTTGTGAGGAATACTGCTGTCTCTTCAGACATAACTGAAGTTGCTCATGGTCTACCATTAGCTAATGTGGGCCAAGGCCAGGCTCTGGACACAGACTAGCCCATTAAGCTGGGCAGCTAGCTGGTGAAGTCCAACAAGAACACAGCCTGAGGCAGAAGTCAGTAGGTAGGTGATCTAGGCAGGCTGCTCTCAGAGGGATGGAGGTATTAAAGTAACAGTGAACTGGCACCTGGATGGGGTGTAGACCATGCAGTTCAGGAATCGATTCATTCCTCGAGTCCTTCCAGTGTGAATGACAGAAACAAACACAAAGTAGCTTTCTTACAAAAGGGAATACATTGGTTCATGTACCAAGATACCGAAAGCACTTAAATTTCAGTCACAGCTGGAGCCAGGGGCTGAAATGAGGGTATGTGTACCCTGTCTTCTCTTCATCTCTTAAGCAGGCTCATGCTGCATGGAGGTCGGATGGCTTGCCACAGTGCCCTTCATATCCCACCAGCCTGTCAACCCCAATAGGGTGGGTCTTTTCTGATAGTCCCAGAAAAAATGTTCCAGGGAGGACTCTGCTTGGCCTGGTTTGAGTCTTGCGCTGATTCCTGAACGAGGGAGATGTGGGGACCTGGGTTAGGCTCTTCTCATGATGCGAGGAAATGCCCAGATCCACAGGACCCCATAGAAGGGGTCCCTCAGAAGAAAGGGGAAATATTACAGTATAAGGAGGGAAAGCTGCACTGGTAAACCAATACACATCTACTACATAAGCAATAAAAATGCAGAAAGACAGTCAGGTGTTTGACACAAGGGAAGCTTTTCAATGTGTGAAAACAAAAATGAATTCTTAATATGTGCCAGGAATGCCCAGAGATGGTAAAGATACCCATGGAGAATGGCCAGGATGCCACTGTAATTATTTTTCACCATAATATGTAGCAGGAAAAAACAACAATTGAATAACAGCAAACCAAAAGTTTACAGATGAATTCTCTACCCCCTTTTTTTTGTCTTCTACCTGAGTGGCAGGTAAAAGTGTGCCTAGACTTAAGATGTCAGAGAAATGTCAGAGTTATGGAACCTCAGTAACGTTAGTGAAAATATGAAGTATTTAATTACCCAAAGTGAAAATAAAATACCTTTTCTATTATTATCAATTATTTATCATTTACCTGTGACCCAATTATTGTTATTATAGAATTATCTGCATATATTTCCTGTAGAATTCATTACAGTCTACATTATCTTTGACTGTTTCTCCTTTTTCTATTTGACAATTTCTATTTTTACATATTGCCTTTTACAGTTAATTAAAGGATGTTTCTCTTCCAGTGTAGGAGGCAAAGACATCTCTGGTAGAGAATAAAGAGATCAGATTTGGGTTGTTGGCTGACCAAGCGTGCTTTCCTGCAAACTCCTGATTCTATCTAATAGGAAATTAACAAAATATACTTGATTCGGCATTAATTACCTATGGTTTGGTCCTGGAGGCCAAACTGAATTTTTCTGAGTAATGAGGAACTGCTGAGATAAGCATTAATGTTAAAGTATAAAGTACAATCATGAATTCTTACATTTTGTGCATCATTTTGCTTCTGTCCAGCCGCTCTAACGGAATGTCCCTAAGTTCTGCAACCTTGCGTCACTCCTCTTTCTCTAAAACCCGATTTAACAGTTGTTGGCATTTCCCTTTCTTGCTTAATTTCCAGGAAATAATCTTTTACCAAGTTTTCCTCCCCAAGTATTCCTTGGTAACTTTCAGGGACAGTTTCTTGTTCCAGGACTGCTGCCTATATGCCATCTGGCAATCTTCAATTCTAGGCTGCTTCTCTGGGCTTCTGTCTAGATCACTGCCTGCCGGGTCGTGGATATTGGAACTCTCCCAGATGTGAGAACACATCCATCGAGTAATTCCTTCAAGTTTACTGTTTAACAAAGTTTTACCGAAAGGCCAGGAAACAGAAAAAGTGACAACATAGAGTGGGGAAAGGAGGCATGGAAATTCTACCACCCTCCTTTGTACTAGACAGTAGACGTAATAGCTTCTAGACTGCATGTGCCATATCTTTCCTGCTAGGATCTGCTCTCTCTTTCCTAAGCCCCAGAATTGTCACTCAGCTGTAGGGACCAGTTTCCTTGCATGATCTCATTTCTTTTCATTAGGACCTCCCTACTCAGAGTACAGACAGAGATATGCAGTGTTTAGGATTTTAATATGCAGAATTTCTCCTTTCTAGGATAATAACATTTGCATATCTAAAAGGCCCCCCTTAAAGAGTTGCCCAATGCAAACCCAGTCACACGTAGAAATACAACATCCATGTATCTTCATGAAAAGATCAAT